CCCAGATACCATTATTTCATAATAAATTAAAAAGAATCTTCACTGAAGAGAGATGGTTCTTTTTAAAAAGTAAAATGTACATTTAATAGAGCTTTGTTCTCTGTCAGCTTCAACCTAAAGCATTCTTCTCAGATGGATGAAACTTATTTTTCCAATTAACCATTTCCTCAGCACAGTGCTTCTCAAACCTTAGCTGTCGGAATCGCTAGGGGGGCTTGTGAAAACACAGACAGCGGGACTCCCACCCCAGAGTTTCAACTAGGTCCAGGATAGGGCTCAAGAATTCGCATGTCTAACACTTCCTTATCCCCACAAATTTAATGATGATTCTGCTGGTCTAGGGACCACACTTTGAGAAGCACTGCCTTAGCAAATTAGAGATGTTTTTCTCTCAGACCCTTTTAGGAAGGAAAGATAAACAGCACCCAACACATTTCCACTCAATATTGAAATGACAGCAACCACCATAATTATTCCTGGACCTTTTGTGGTTCGTATGTATTGTTCTATCTTCCTGTTCGCACCTCACCCTCCTGCCCTCCCTCCCAGCAATCCCACATGGCTAACGGCAGCAGCCACATCTGCTCAACATGCCCTCATCTCTAAATAGAGAAGTTTCCACTGTCGGGTCCCAGTTGAAGCCAAGGCACTTGGTTGGGATTTAGGATTGGGATAAAGACATTTCTGTCTGGCTATTCTTTTGAGCAAAGCATAAACTCAGAAGCTGCTGGCAATTCCCCCTTTCCATCATGTGACCTGGGTAACAGAAGAAGTCCATCTGTCGGTCCAGAGAGAAGCAGAAATGAGGTGGGGAAGGGGGTGGTTCCTGGGTTCCATATGGGCCTCCAGACTCTGGCTGCAGTGGAAAACCGATGCCCCACTGCATCCCTGCCCTTGGGATCAATAAGCCAATCCAAAACCCGCATCTTCTACTAAATTCTTCTATCCTGCCAAAACTATCTGAAGAGGGTTTCTGTTATCTATAACCAAAGGGGCCCTAATTACAACTGTTAATATTTCTTTTCTTCTCCACTTCAGTTTACCTTAGAGATTAAATTCACCCTAAAATGTCATCCTACTCAAGTTTACCTGTTTCTAAATATCTCCTAACTGAAGCTCCATCTCATTTACGTGACACCCTAAACCACATATCACTATGTTATTTCAAATGTAGGGTCTGCTTGGATTCCTATACAAGAGGCAATTATAATTTATATGGCTCTCCAGGACTCGGCAGGAATAAATGAATATAAACCAGAAATGAATATAAATCCTCTGGGTGAGCACAGAAATTTTTAAAACCAATAAACTTGTTTCAAATTAAGTTCTAATATAAAGTTTTATTTACCACACTAGAGAAATGTAAATGTTTAATTTTTCATTAATGTTTCTCTGCATAACTCCAGCTTTCCAACTATGTACTTTTTGTGTGTGGAATTCATATTTTTAAATGGCATTCTTATCTACTACTTCTAGGCTCACCCAACCATGCATGATACATTTTATATATGCATTCCCATGGAAACATGTAACTCCCCAAAGAAAGAAGAGGGCATTTATCTTCATCACTTTGCATCTAGCTACTTCTCTTAAAGCAAAGCAGAGACAAAGCAGACAAAATTTTGTGTCACTCTCAGCATTACATCATATCCGTGATAACACAGCTATCCCGTAAGTTTGCAAGGTGACCAGACATTGCAAAACCAGAGTTTAAAGGTACTTTAAATATTCTACACTATCTAATGTTATATATCCTCTATGTTGAACACTGAGATTTCGGCCTCCTTGAATGAAGACTTCTGGGAATTATCTTTGGCAACCATATGCTTAGCAAAAAGTCTGATTATTTTGGCTGCCTTGTGTCACATAACAACAAGTAGTCGCAGACTTCCAGTGCTTTCCTCAGAGTGTGTTGCTTTCTTTATGGCAATCAATTTACTTGGCCCAGCTGTCAGGCATTCAACTTCCCAATTAACAACTGGAAATAGAACTTGAACCACAGGAAGGAAGAAAGCTCAGATTTTCCCAAACGCACACTTAATGAAAAATTGAGCCTACACTAGCTCATCTGCGTTTTTCCCGTAAAACACAAATGTCAATTTGGAAAACAATATATCTACAGAGGTTTTTCCACATAGAAAAGCTCCACATGATATGTGACTGGGGCAGGTGCCAAGTCTCCATCCTTAAGGAGTTTTAACATAAATTAATTTAAAGCTGAAAATGAAGCAGCCAAAATTGTGGACTAGTTTCTTCTTAGTAATTCAATGAGAAGACTGAAAGGGTCTAAACTATAGGTCACCACTTCTAACCTCAAGGGAATAAATAACAGGGAAGAAAACTCCTTTTATTCCACATCTTAACTACTCCTTGGGTCAAAACCGAAACAAGGAAAAGTGTGCCCCATGCATCACCCTTGCATGACTAATTATCCTCACCCAACTCTTCCTGACCAAAAGGATTTTCCCCAGCATATCAGAAGACTACAAATGAAAACAAGCAAGGCAGGAAGCAATAGGAACTCCTGTTCACAAGAACAGCTACAACAAAGCTTTGGGGGTATCAGCCGGGGCAAACTGGTGGTGCAGCCCTGACCAACGACACAGACGTTTTGGGAAATGAATTACTCTTGTCTATAGAGCAACAGAAATGATCATGGAAAAGGGCATCTGAAGACACAAGTCCTTTACTTGGATGTCTTTCAGGAAATGAACTGTGAAATTGTTAAAATTACAATTTGAGGAAAGAACATACAAAGTTTTTTCCTAACAACTTCATTCTTGCAAGAGCACTGCTCTATCAGTGATTAGAAACTCTAATATCCGCTTTAAACCTAATTAAGGGTGAGTCCTCTTCAACTTGTGGTTTAGGAATGAAAAGATATTTGCTTTCAAGTCACATGCCTATTGTTATGACTAAAAAACTTCTTTCCAGTTTACCTGACCATGGCCATTAGAGTATGGCGTACTAAGTTCCAAGTGCAAATCACACGGATGGATTCCACTGCCCTGGATTACTTCTGACTAGACCACAGCATCTAGAGATCAGGACTGTGATGCATATCTCTTTGACCTAAGTCATTTGCACACAAAATGCTGAGGATTTGAGGATTTTTTTTTTCACGGCAAAAAAAAATTGTTGTCGGTCTTCAAACAAGTTTTCATTTCCACATCACGAAGCAGGAGCAGATGCCCTTTGGAAACAAGACCGTGTCATCCATTCAACTATTGCTGAACCACATAGCACATGTGCTCAACCAAAGGCAACATACACATTTAGAAGGACCACTGCTCTCCACAAATATCTTTCAATGTTCATGGCTGATAGACATATTCTGTTTGGGCGATATCATTATTATCTATAAAATGATTTCACACCTGTGTCTCAAATCTCATCATGCAAAAGGATTAAGATAAAATATTTTTCCTTAAAGAACATCACTCCTGAAATCTCATTTTTTGCATATTATCTTTTGGTGATACCAAAGTCTCTTTTGCTTACAACACTTGCTGCACAGCAAACTCTGAACTAGAAATATTATATACTGGAATCTGACCATAAGGAGGGAGACAGGGGTCACTGTTGGATAAGACTTCAAGTCACTGGAATGTGAAAGTGTATGCTATGGAGGAAGAATCAGAGCTACGTGACCTCTTTGAATTTATCAGAAAACAACAAATGTGTTACTCTATATCATTTAACATAGGAAGAAGAGTTCAAATATACAAAAAAATGTGTTCACTTGAACACCCTTTATAAAAACGTTCAGCTTTTATAATAGTAAATAATACAATCTTACTAGACCTCTCATCTGCATAGGAGGTACTGTACTATCTCTGCAAAGTTTAGGAAGACGGAGCTATGATAAGGATGTAATGATTGCATTATACTTTATTTATAACAAATCATGTTACCTTGAACTGCCAATGTGCTTTGAATTAACATCAAAGGAAAGAATTCTTAACCCCACCAACTGGTAAGTACAGGAATTTCAACTGTTCTGATATAATGACTAAGTAAATCACTGTTAATTTCTTACTTTCCAACCCACTAGTCAACCAGAAACACAGTCAGAACTGCTGATGAAATTACAGGTCTTAAAGGAGTCTCTCTAATGCATTTCTTGCTTTCATCCTCCAAGCACAGCAAGTTCCAAACTAAAAACAGCTTTTGATTCATATTAGCATTTTAAATATAGTTTCTAAAAATTACGCTTAAGAGGTAATGAACTAAGGATGGGATATGACTTGACAAGTATAATTATTGATATAATCCTTTTTTCCCATGTTCTGAAAGTCCTATCTTTGAATTGAAAAGACACCATGTTTTCACCTGTTTCAGAGAGGACAGGGCAGATAGGAGATGATGTGGAAAAAAATCCAAACTATATGAATTTCAAATTATAAGCCATTTTTCCTACATTTAATAGGCTGAGATTACATTCAGATACTAGTAAAGAATGATTCATTAATCTTAAGAACAGATTATTGTAATATTCCATTATAAAATTCTCTATCCATAAAATCTCTTATTGCCACTCTATTGGTAATTACTTCAAGTGCCATCTCAAATGCTTATGAAGTTAAGAAAAATATTTGTAATGGTGCTTAAAGAGTATAGTATAAATATACACAAAATGCCAGGTCCTCTATTAGGGAAGAATAGGTATTTTGATCAATTAGCAGAAGAGCTTTGAACATCATTAGAACCCACTTAAAATTATGGCCTCTATCACCTTAGAAAGCAGCAGTAGTTTCCAACAATTTGCAGTGATAGTCAGGAAAAGGTTGTATTTAATAAGATAGGTACACAGCTAATATACACAAACAAACTCACACACAACACAGGAATTTAAGCCAAGTAATCTGATCATTCCTTGAGTTCACAGCAATAATGCGATATTGCTGCCATTAGGTTAATTATAACCCATGCAGGAAGCAGTCCAGTTGGCCTGCAAGTGAAACTATCAGAATGTGAATATTTTCGAATAAATCAAATACCTGAGAGTTTCATGAGAAGTTCAGAGGCTGCTTTGACTGACACATCCCGCCTTAGCACATTTCCCTTCCCTTCCTGGGGCTTTAGTGCGTCCTCAGAGACGCCTGGGGCTGACACTTCAGATTCCGGGCTGAACACATAGCTGGACCGAGGCAAAGTCGTGCTTAGGGACTCCCCTTCCTTAGGCTCCTCTTTCACTTTAAAATTAAGATTCATGGGCTCCTTCTGATTTGCAGCTGTCAAAAGAAAAAAAGGGATTATATATACATAAAAGGCCACTCCCCTCCTTAGCTGCCCTGGTACTTCACGAAGTATGGAATGCACAATCACACTGCGCTAACAACCGGAGGGATCACGACCTCATCAGAACAGGCTGGGCCCTGGGCAAAGCCGCACAATACACTCCATGGGCCTACGACTCTGAGAAGTGTGGGCTTCTGAATCTTTTGAACCTATAATATTTTAAGAAGTGCTACCTCTACAAAGTCTCTGGGCATTTTCTCTTTGGTTTCCCTAGATGTCTTCTTTCCTGTGTATGCCACTGCCTCCCTGACTTATTAGCACTCTCCCCACCTAATCCTATTATGAAATAATGCTTTCAGGCAATTATTCTGCCATAAGATATTGAATACTAACATGAGTCAGAGGCAATACCCAAAGCAAAAACCTGGGGTGTGTTGGTAAGGTGAGGATGGAGAATTTGCCAAACAGAAAAGCTCAGACTAGAGATAGACCACTCTTGCCTTATTATAAGATGACACTACTAATCCATAAACAGTGGGGCATGTACTTAGCACTGTTCTTCTGATTATGGTGAATAAATCCATGTCTGTAGCCCAAGTCATCACTGAGTCCAAAATGACCTTTTTTTTTTTTCTTTAAAGAACAGTTTTTATTTTGGAATAATTTTAGATTTACAGAAGTTGCAAAGATGGTTCCAAGAGTTCCCATATATCCTTCACCCAGAATTCCCTAATGTTAGCATCTTACATAACCATGGTACATTTGTCAGAACTAAGAAATTCACATTACTATGAGCTAAACTCTACATTTTATTCAGATTTCACCAGTTTTTCCACTAATGTCCTTTTTCCATTTTTAGCATAGTTGGTTGCTGTGGAGTGTGTGGTCAGGACAGAGCTAACTGGCATATTACGGGATGGATTCTGTGGTTCAGCCACACTGTACCAGGCCTTCCCCACTGGGCTACATACTACCAAGGAAAGATCAAAAAGGAAGAGACAAGCACCCTCTTCCTACCACTTTTCACTTTCACAGGCATCTCGCTCCCTTTAAGAGTCCATGAGGTAGGAACTTAGGATTCATTACATTGAGTGTGTCCATCTTTTGAGAAAGAGGATCTGGTCCTAGTTAGAAACACTTATTAGAATGAGCCTTAAGCCCATCCCATCTTAACAAACAAAAAGATAAAAATAAATCCCCAAAGCAAACATCTATCACCCCTTGCCTACCACCTACTCCAAGCCAATACTCAAGCACAAAGTCTGTTTTCCAGCTCATACTCCTCTAAGAATATGCATTCTAGAATCACAAGTTCACACAGACCAGCATATTTGGAAACCGAACCCCAAAAGCCCAAAGTACTATCTGGAAGTTTCACTACCAGAAAGATGCAGAGCTGGGACCAGAATCTAGGTCCATGGGCTTCCCTCGCTGTGTCTCTCACCTGCCTCCACTGCACCACCTCCACTTCCGGTCTCTGTGTTGTAACAAAACTTGAAAATACTTGACCTTCCAATCGGCTCAAATACCACCTGCTCAGTGAGGTCTACTCTAATCATCCTGTTCAAAACTGCAATCCCCACCTTCACAGTCCTTCCAACCTCTCTTACCCTGACCTAACTTTCATTTTTCCCTCCAAATACTCGTCACCTAATAACCTACTGTCATGGACTCAATTGTGTCCCTTCATATGCCAAACCTGCCAGTGTGGAACATATTTGGAGTTAGGACCTCGAAGGAGGTAATTAAGGTTAAATGAGGTCATAAGAGTGGAGCCCTAATGCAATGTGACTGGTTCCATCAAAGAACCAGAAGAAGAAGAAGAGAGAGAGAGAGAGACACCAGGGATGCACGCACACAGAGGAAAGTCTGCATGAGGACACAGTGAGAAGGCGACCGTCTGCAAGCCAAGGAGAGAGGCCTCAGGAGAAACCAAACCTGCTGACACCTTGATCTTAGGCTTCCAGCCTCCAGAACATAGAAATAAATCTGTTATTTAAGTCATCCAGTCTGTGGTATTTTGTTATGCAGTATTTAGCTTAACAGACTAATCACATGCTATATGGTTTTTAAAATGTATTATGTTAACAATTTATGGCTAGGCGCAGTGGCTACTTGTAATCCCAGCACTTTGGGAGGCCGAAGCAGGCAGATCACTTGAGGTCAGGAGTTTGAGATCAGCCTGGCCAACATGGTGACACCCCATCTCTACCAAAAATACAAAAGCCAGATGTGGTGGCATGCACCTGTAATCCCAGCTACTTGGGAGACTGAGGCAGGAGAATCACTAGAACCCAGGAGGCAGAGGTTGTGGTGAGCCAAGATTGTGCCACTGCACACCAGCCTGGGCAACAGAGTGAGATTCTGTCTCAAAAAACAAAAAACAAAAAATCAAGGTAGGCTTCATGAAGGAAACAATTTTTTTTTTTTTTTGACGCTTTGTCACCCAGGCTGGAGTGCAGTGGTACAATCTTGGCTCCACTCACCACAACCTCCGCCTCCCGGGTTCAAGCAATTCTCCTGCCTCAGTCTCCAGAGTAGCTAGGACTACAGGTGCCCGCCACCACACCCAGCTAATTTTTTGTATTTTTAGTAGAGATGGGGTTTCACCATGTTAGCCAGGATGGTCTCGACCTCCTGACCTCGCCTCCCAAAGTGCTGGGATTACAGACTTGAGCCAACACGCCTGGCCCAACAATTTTTGTTTTAACACTGATGTGTCTCAAGTGCCTTGAATAGTGCCTGGTACATAGTTAGTGATGAATATATATTTGTTGAATGAGTAAAATGTGTTGCTCCAAATTAGTGGCATCCAATGGCCTTCCAACATTACCTGAAGTTAACAAAAACTAAGACCTCCAAAATATCCCACAAAAAGCAATCAGAAGTGCTTTCCCTGGATTTAATAATTAGGTGGGAGATAAGACCTTTGAAGTAAAGTTAAAGGCCTTTCTACCTAGACTACAGCATTACTGAAATGTCTAATCATCACTTCAACTCTAGCATTACTAAAGGAGGAGTCCAGAAAAGTCTCAAGGAAAGTGCTTAAAATCTAGCCCTTTGGGGAAAATGCCACAGGAATCTGAATCAAAGGGAGCAATAATGGGCTACGGAGCAATCCTCAAATATGTACTTCCAACGTCTACCAGGAAGGCTGCTCCTAAGACGACTTGATTTATTTAGCGCATTTCTCCCCTTTGCACCTTTCCCCCACTTCTTGGGGGATTTTGCTGGTCACCCTTCTAAAGCTTGCTCTCTCCCAACACCATTCTCCCAGAACCCTTTATAAAGTCCTTTGCAAGGGCACCCTAGTTCATCACGACAGAGTAATTAAATAGGGTGTTTATTAAGTCTGTGTCTTTGATTCTTTGAGGAGGAACAATTTAAAGTGAATGGTTAAGTATTTTTAAAATGCTTCATTGCCGCATCTTTTACTTAAAAACATTTTCAAATTCTAAGATGAAGCTAAGAAAGAGATGCAAAAAAACTATTGAGGCCCTAGAAGCAAATCCCAACTTCTAGAGCTCATTAAGCAGATGCTTCCTGCACATGTAAGTGGTTTCTAGAAGCATTAGTCAGAGTATGTGCTACAAGAGACTTAGGGGGAAAAAGTAAAGATATTTAGCATTGCTAGCACAACCTGGATTTAACAGAACTTCAAAAAGACACTTTAAAAGGCAATAAGCAAGCTGTACATTGCTGGATTATACATTTGCAAGGCACTACATACCTGGTTTACATTCTGACAATACAGAGAATGACAGAAAATTGTAATGTGCTGAGGAAATGTAAACGTAGCTAACGACATATCAGAAGGGCATGTGGAAATCACTCATTTGCCCAAGTTTTAATTTCCCAAACATTTGGGTCTCTATAGCAGATGTAAAAACAGAAATATGAAGGCTAACCTGCTTTTTTCAATGACCAAAAATATTTACATTGAGAACAGTACCTAAAGCCTATATTTTAAAATTAATATGACTTAATAATTACTATCTTTTAAATTATCCCACTTCACAAAAAAAACCCACATGTGCAGTGAGAGGTGGAACTCAAGACGTTTTCTTTTTCTTTGGGGAAATTGCTAAGAGAAAAGCAACCAATATGACTCATGACATAGTCTTCACTTCATTCCTACTAGTAACACAGGAAGATTTGTGCAGGTGTGGAACTCAACTTGTCAAGGACTTTCACAACACCTGCCTTGACTTCTGTTTATGTATTTGAAAGTTTCTGGATAACTGCACTTTTGACGTGATGAGGAAGCCCCCACTAATCCAGAGGCTCCTTGTCTCGCTGTTTGTTCCCAGCATCTTAGGACCTGGGCCACGCTGATGATCAATTACACATACCTCTTAGTTTATGTACTTGATGGAGGTGGACCACCATTTAAAGGAAATAAATTAGCTTTTTTTGAGGATTTATGAAGGATTCAAGATAAAGGCAAACGCGGGAAAGGAATGGGAAAGCTGCTGGGATAAGATGATTCCAATCTTCCAATTCTAGGAAATTACTATATAACTAGAAAATACTATATATTTTACAATATTTTCTAGTTATATAGTAATTGGGAAAATACTATATATCTTCCCTATTACTAGGGAAAATATATGTAACTTCCTTCTAAAGACCATCATTTGTTTTAACAATGTATACAACTAGCACTTGAGTAATTACACAGGGATCAAGCCTTCCATCAATCACAGGAGATAGATGTTATTACTATCTTCATTTTACAGGTGAGGAAACTAAGGTCCCAAAAGGTTAAGAAACTGATGCCCCAAATCACAGATCTAATTCACAGAGACACTTGCTCAGAGTTTCTCACTGGAAATGCATCCAAACCCTTTCCTTTCTCTCCAAGACACCCAGCTACCTTTAAAAGGGACACTACCCTCAGCAGGTGAACCGCGGCTTTGGGAAATAAGTGATGTGGGTGAATTAAGCGTTGTTCATGAGAAAGGGAAGGGTGGGTTTCACCTGAAGAAAAGGG